CGAGTGCGGTTGTGGCGCGGACGGCGTTGAGAACCCCCAGAGAGAGAGAGGGGACAAAAGGCGCAGTAGTCACAACGAGAGACTTAGCCGCACCAGGGGACGAAGTGGTCACACTGGGGACTTGAGGCTCGACCCAACCACAGAGGAGGGAGGGGAGCTGGGGGAAGAAGTCAGGAGAGTCAAAGGAGGAGCAAGGTCGGGGTTCAACGCAGCGGAGGCTACAGAGCCCGGTCTTCCAAGACAACCCGACTCGGGGGCTTGGTCGCCCACCCCACGAGCCCGAGAGGGTACAACAGAAACATTCAATGACGTACAGACGAAGAGTGATAAATTCATCCACGAATGTTCCTCCATACCCACCATGGAGCCACAATTAGAGACAGGACACCCAACAAGAAGGTACCGCCGATCATGCCGGGGCCCCATAGGGGTGCGTCGTGAGTATACGCCCCACAAATGCCACCTTAAGAACCGACAGTCCGTCGAGATCGGGTTCAGCGACGAAAGGGGGATTGACAATAAAAGGTTCCCCTCGCTCGAGATGTTGGGTACTTTAGTTCTACGGGTGCAAGAGTATGCCTTCTCAAGCACCTGGGCGTCAAAATAGAAGAAGTCCAAAGGAATAACCAAAACAAGCAAAAGGTCGGCAGGAAACGACAAGCAGAGAGGAGAAGAGGGGGGAGAAAAACGAAACATTAGGAAAGGAAAAGCGATCCGGCACAATTAGAGAAGAAAGCAGCAGGAGTGCAAGGCCACAAAAGGACAGAGGACTGTCCCACGGAGCATCACACTCCGGCAGTCGTCCACTAAGCCCCCTGACGGCGCCAACGGGCCGGATGGGGAGGGGGTGTTTTAATGGAAGGTGACTCCCCTTCTTAAAAAATAATTCCTCTCCTCTTTAGCTTCTACCACCAGCTCTCCTCAGTTTGAGTGATTCACTTTTATGGACAATGCAGTTGTCTGTATTGCTTTGCGTAGTTTCTAGATGCTTTCTCTCTGTGGGTGATCGTAAGAGTCCCCAGCTCTTTCTCTGCCTCTGAGGTGGCCAGGCACTGGCTCTGGTCTCCAGATATGCCAAACACGACTTCTAATACTGAACTCAGTACTGGGAAGCCATCTCGGCAAGATAGCTTTAGAGACCTACCAGGGGCTGCCCAGAAGTAACATATTGTCCTGGCTCTTGCAGGACAATAATGAAGTCAACGATGACCAGCACTTTATCTGAAAAACCAGAACCAAGGGGGCACTGGGGTGGAAAGATGAGCATAACAGCAAATGTCATAGACATACGCACCAGGCACTATGACTAAGGTGTCAATGTTGGTGGATTGAGAAAGGTGCGCATACCCCTGGTGGTAGAACTAATGAGAGAATTACTTCATGACCAAGTGCTTTGGGAATCTTGCTGTCTCATTTTCTATTTCATTTTCCTTGTTTGTTTATATGTTTTGGGTCACCCACCTTTCTGGTAGCCTTTTCTTGGTTAGGGTGATCTACGATCCACCGTTCCTTGCACCTATTTAGAAGAATCCAGGTTTTGGCCTCTGGCCTGCAGTAAGCTTTCAAGACATGCAAGGGCCGCGCATGAATTGAATTGAGTGGAGCTTGTTGGGTAGCAGGTACCAAGGAACCACCAACAGGAGCCCTCCCAGAAAAGTTATATGACTATTATCCAAACTCTAACCTGATCTGCATGACTGGGATTTTATCTACAGCACTCGCAAGTCAATAAAGTGAACAACCAATAGGCTCCTGTATTTATGCTTGTTACTATATCTTTCTGGGGTTTGTCTTTCATAATTTGTAATTGCACTGAACATATACAAGAACATGGTCACTATATGCCATAGTCAAGAAAATTTAAAATACAGAACTGGTACTTTGAAATAAGAACTAACAAATTTACTAGATTTTGTTCCAAGATTTTTAGACAACATATAACTTTTGCCACAAAAAAAACAAATCCCTAACTACATTTAACATTAAAAATAAGTCTGCAGTGTCCATAAATTTAATGGGAAATATTATTGGGTATTCACAGGGTTAATAGCTCATTATTAAATGTTAAAATAATTAGTATACATTAGTTAAGCATTATTTGATAAATTGGCTTGTGTTGGATTTATAGGTTAAGAGCATTAAAATTGCAGTAAGGGAACTGTCATCAAGTTTCTGTGGATCCCCTCCCATGTTGGAATATGTGGGAATGAACAAGCAGATGTGCTGGCTGCTGAAGGCGCTGAAAGAGACCATATTGAATACTCATACCCAAGACTCAACTACAAATTAGAGGTATTATCAGGCAACATCACCGTGACAAGGTAACTGAGGAAAGGAGGATAGAAGCACAAACCAGTGAATCTGTACGATGGTACAACATGGTTGCAGCTGGCAATCCCAGTCATTATGGCCGAAGAGGAGGAGGACGAGGGAGAGAATCAGTAATAGCGAGAATCCGTCTTGGATACAAATATTCATGGAGACTTGGAATGGAAACAACAGTTGATCAGCGAAGTTGCAGAATCTGTGGTGAGAGTGATGGACACCGCCTTGACCACTATCTACGTGAATGTGAACACCTGAGAGACATTAGGAATATGTGTAGAATAATAAACCCCACCTGGTTAGTTGTAAAGCAGCATTATAAATTGTTAGTCCTTATTAGCATGATGATAAAAGTTGTCTAAGTAAGGTTGTTGTCCAAATTATTATGCCTTGTTTTGAAAGATCATCAGCTTTTAAAGCCACATAACTACACAAGAATCTCCTCAAACACTTATATTACAACACATTTCCAACATACTTGCCTGGCTAGTTGTAATAACATCAATTACAGTATTTATCCTTCTAGTTTTTAGCATTCCTTCAAAAGAATTCATCTGAGGTGAGAAACAGACTTGGAGGATATTAAATATCTTCGAACTGAGCAGTCAAATCCTTTCTAGCTATCCTAAAATACTAGTCAAGAAGCCGTAACACTGCACCAATGGGAAGAACCGTCTCTGAACGAGACATCTTCTACAGCCACCCTAGTCCTGCCTGTGTCAATACATAGCCAAAGCATAGTCACCACATTAGTAGTTATTACGGTGTCCCTCAACTTATATTTCCTTTTGCAAGTTGACCTGCAGTGACAGCATTTATACAACAACTCTCCAGCTTGCAAAATAAAATACTAACCATTCTCATAAAATATAAAACTATTACATTTTGCTTAGTCTTACATAAGCCACATAATTCAAATACTGATTAGTTTCCATTGTGTCAATTATATATATTTCACTAAACATATTTGTTCTTTTTTTTTTTCCATGAAACCCAAAAATTAAGATGCAACAGCTAGGTCATAATTTCTCATGTCAGTGACAGTGTTCTCCACAGAGGACCACCACCTTTGTTCAAGTCTCATATCAAATTTGTGCTGCAAAAAATACCAGAGATGTAAGAGAGAGAAACATTTCTGCATGTTTCAACAAACAAACCTACTTAAAGAGTTTCAGAGAAAGCAATGGACTACAGATATTTACAATAACTTTAAAAGTTTTTAAACTTTTTCAATGTATGCATCCATTCAGATCTAATTTAAATTACAAACAATCTTGCTAGTCAAAATTGAATTAATACTGCAGCTAGTTGAAAAAATCTGATTAATGTATTCACCACATTGACATACTTATAAAGTCATTATTTATTAGCAAAAGTTGAGAGTAGTTTCTTTGGGAGACATCAAACCTATATATTGTTTTCTAGAAGGAAGATATGAAATTAAAAATGACCTCTGAAGTAACTGTCGTCAATAACCGTTTAAAATTTCAACAGTTTAAATACTTCACAAACTTTTCCTTTCTTCAGTAAAATGATGATAAACCATTTTCTCATTCATCCTTACTCACTACACATGGAACTTATACAGAATACATACAAACACACAAGCACATACTTGGACTAAATACAAGGAAACTAGTGATGCCTAACAGCGCTGCATTCATAAAAAAAAAAATTTAACTGCATAAAAATAAGTTCAATTCAAACCCACCATAAGTTCACTGACAACTTAGTATGCTAAACTTAGAATAAAAGTGAAGACTACTGCAAACTACTCAGCAAAGGTGTGATCATCAAAACTTGATCTTTGTACCATGGAAGGATAAGGATGACAGCCAGCCAGTTCAGCAACTACAGGGAATATACAGTACCACAACAACTACAGGGAATACACAGTTCAACAGCAGTTATGGGGAATATATGTTACTATAACAGCTTCAGGGAATACACACTACCACAACACCTATGGGAAATATACAGTCCCACAACAGTTATGCTACTGTATACAGTACACAATTCTTAGAACACACAAGGACAATGCAATTGCACAAGAACGTAATATCAACTTGTGCAAGAGCATGTCCCCATGCAGTGAGCCGTAGAATTCTTTTTACAGAAAAACAGATTGGCAGGAAGGATGTCTTACGACACGCATGCAGTCTGAGCATATCTCGCTAATATTTCTTACTACAAGATGTTATAACTTCAGGACTCCTTAATTACTTGCAGTGCTATTCGAGAAAAGCTACATCTAATCACACACACACTGGTACAAGCCAAAGTTATTCTTTGTATAAAACTAAACGCAGTGATCAGCCCACGATAGACAACATGCAGTGCACCACACAACAAGGCATAACCATATAGCTTGTCTGTCCTCGTACTCTTGCAAACTTTCATAACTATGTTTAAAATGTAAAATATTGGTTATGGATGAAAGAAATAACTTCGTGGTGGAAAGAAATAAAGCATTAGTGCTTATAAGTATGGTGTTGAAAGCAAAAAAAAAAAAAAATTCTAGTTGTGCATGTACAACTATATATTCCTATGTATGTGTTTATTTATGCATGTGTAAATTTATAAGCATATGTATAAGTATGCACAGGTATATACATGTATGTGACAGACAAACAGAAGAGGCTATGGCAGTAAGGTGCACGGTGAGCAATGTTTACCATTAGCAGAGCGCGGGGGGCCTCCTGGGGGGAAGAGAGGCTCCCAGTTGGGCTGGCCCGGGTTCATGGGGGAAGGCAGGGGGGACGAGCCTGCTTGCACGCACCAGAAACCCACACACATCAGTTAGACCACAACCCAGTAATGTACACATTCAAAATTGTGAAAGCTTATTAAAAAGATTTGTCACAGAATCCAAATCTTAAGAATATGTGGGGTGATTAGATCACTTAGACTTAGATGATACGATAGAATTGGAACGGAACACTTTATACAGTACCTTCACCATGGGAAAATTACCTGGATGACGGTTATTAATCTTCATAGGAAGTAATGTAAATTCCAGCGACAATATAATATTGAAAACTAAAAAGCCTACACAGCTATCCAACTGTGCAGTGGAAAACTTAGAAATAGAACTATTATTGGATTAAACTTGAAGATATGTAGGATCTGCCGATTATTTCTTATACGTAACAGCTGACACTATTGGTATACTGAAGCCACACACACACACTCGTCTACTGACCTGCATTACCAGCCAAGTGGTTGTAGAACTTTCCTGCTAACCTATTTTTCAGTTACCTATAATAATACTGTGACAAGCCAGTTTATTTAGATTTTCAAGAATAGAGAGAGATCCATTTTCCTAAAGTCTTTTAATCTTATTTATTGATGTATTCACCTTGCAAGTCCCCATACACAAATTTGTAATGCGGCATAAAGCAGTTTTACCTGGCCACCAACTAATAGCACAATGCACTATTCTTCCATGTGCCAAGCATGATCCATTTTGCCAAAACTAGTCTCACCGCATAACCAATATATACGCAATATAACTTTTTAACTCTTACCGATTGTAAAAAAAAAAAAAAAAAATTAAATAATGTACAATGCATATTAAATATGGATGCACACTAGCGCACACACACAAGTAAACACACACACTCCAACTTCAACTGGACATGCTGGTTAAGAGCTCCTAGGCCAAGATCATCAGGATTGTTACCTAACAACATAGAAGCAGGATATGGATTAGTTAGTGGGGTCCTTTATTTAATATTTAGTTTTTCCCAATGCCAGAGACAGGAAGACTTTCATTTTAGTGAAGTCCTTCTACCTAATTTCTGACCATGACAAGGATGTACCCCCACAACAGTTCACTAATGCATGTACTGGTACATATTTACTGCTAGATGAAGAGGTATCAAGTACAAGGAAGTATGCCCAAACATCTGACCTTGAGCGAAAATGAAGCTTGTGACAAAACAGTAATGAACCCAATGTGTTGCTCCATATGTCCCTTAACTTCTACAATCTCACAAATAGCAAACTGCTGTGGGAATGGCAGGGGCTGGTTGCTTGATTGTGAGTTTCTTTCCATTATGGACTCCATGACAAATTCAGTGGTAAATAAATAGGGCAGTCTCAAAGAGCCATTTGTAAACAACTGCAAACAGTAAAGATCAGGATAAACCATAAGGGGCCAAAAATCTGGGTGACCCTGAAGATTAAAAGAGTAAGGAATTCACGTTACTGGGCTTAGTTGAAAAAGTTACTAAACCTTTATGAGAAATTGTGTGAAAAGGACCATTCGCAAGTAAGAAAGTGCTACAACTGACAGACAAGGCAGTTTTAGACAAGCTAACCCTGGAAAATCAGGACTGGTGTTAAATGAACTCTTGTGTGGAGATCCTCATCACACGTTTACATGGCGAAGGACCACTTGAGTAAACACATGAAAAATATTACAGAAGAAATAGAGGAATATAAGATTGAAATGGTTTGAACATTTGTACATGCAACAAAGAAGAATTGACTTCAAAGGCACTTATGGAGTCAGCGGATCTGAGTAATTCATGTATGTTAATTTAACACTTTCGCGTCCCGATGATGGTATCGACGTAATAAAACCAAAATATGCAGAGGCCCTGATGACGGTGATGCCATCATCAATTATTAAATTTAAAAAAATTCCATTTATTGTCAAAATATTATGGGACTGGTTTTAAAATGAGTGCCATGATATTGTGAACAATTTGATACCAAAAGTAGTGCCAAATTCTATTTATGTATTTATACCAGTATATGTATGCAAGATGCTCCCTATACTGTAGTTACAAAAAACCAGCGTTGAATGTAATGAAACGCCATTTTCTTGGTGAGACCCGGAAGCTCCCCGAAGCTTTACCAGGCTGATATGCTAATGTCAGACTTTGGCATCAGTCATGTGTATGGAGTTCTAGGGCCTACCGGGGACCACGGCCAGAACCTGGCCCCCCTCAGAGAGGCAAGGGGAGCAATGGCCTATAGAAACCCCCGTGTGTTTGGAAGCATTCTATGTCTGTCATCGACCGGGTCAAGCATCCAGAAAGGTAAGCATTCCAAAACAAACCCCTATTCTGGTGAAAATTGCTACCTAAAGCCGAACTAGTGGATAAAACTCTCCAACAGAAAACAAGCAAACTAGTATGACGTTATACGTCACCACGCCGCTGTCTGCGCATCTCCCCCCTACCCGGGAGGGGGAAGGGGGAGCCCCAGACCTCCCATGCCAGCTACCCACCCTTCAGTTCTTCGGCTGGATGTCAAAACACGCGAAAAACCGCCGACCGGAGGGAGGGAGGGTTGCCGGGGAGCCTCCGGGTCTCACCCATGAAAATAATGTAATGAAAATGTAATGAAAATGGCATTTCATTACATTCAACGCTGGTTTTCTGGGGGGAGCCCCGTTGGCTCCCCGGAGCTAACTACCTACAGAGGAAGGTCAAAGGGATGGAACCAGGAGGCGGACACCACGCACCCCCCACAGAAGCGAGACAACCGGCAGCAAACGCCAACCCAAGGCGCCACAGCCCCGAAAAGTCCGGGGAACAACACGAGAACAACAAGCAGCAAGGCCCCCATACGAACACCAAAAATCCATGCCCGAAAGACCGCAAGGATACATCGCCCAGATGGCAGCGAGAGCAGCGAAGCCACGAACGCCACGGGCATGAGGGAAGAACACAGGCAGCTAAGCCGCAAGAACACGGCTGACAACCCGGGACACCATCACCCGCGAACCGGGAAGAACAGAACCGGATCAGCGCAAAATGCGCTCTGGACACAGACACCGTGGCACGCAAACAACAGCGGAGGGCCGCCACTGAACACAAAACATAACACACCCCCGGCCCGACCAACGAAGCACCAACGAACCCTGGACCCCTCCAGAATGCAGCAGCCCCACCCCGCGCCAGAAAAGATGGAGACTGCCCACCAAACAACCAAAACGCTAAAACCGAAGTAGCAAGAAAACTCAGCGACCCGACCCCCAGAGGCAAATGCCAAAAGGAAAAAGAGCCGACGAAAAAACACACCGGAACCGAAGGGGCACTACCAACCGAGGAGAAGACAGAGCACGCTGACCAGAGACCAGGATGGTGCAAGCGGCGCACGAACAGGCCGGAGGGGAAACGACACACGAGACAGCTTACTAACGGTGCAGAAGCAACGCCAAGACCGAAAGCAAGCCGAAGCGGGTCCGCCAGCGCCGCACGAAAAGAAGCGACAGTATGTGGCAAGACGACGGCCCCCAACCCCCACCAGAAAACCAAGCCGAGAGTACACCAAGCTAACAAGAGTAACCACCTAAGAAGGGACAGGAAAAGGAAGGACCGCCAAAATACCCCATACTGTCGCCAAGAGAAGCACGCAGGTGGGACACCTACCACGAAGCCACTCGACCACCAACCGGAGGCGAGACCACGAGGCAGAACATAAGCAGCCCCGACAAGGCCGAGCCCAGGAAAAGGTGGAGCCGCGGGAAGATCTCGGGCGTAACCACCGAAACCCAGGCGGCACAAGGAGATGGAAAGTCTGCCAAACAGAAAAACTCCCCAAAGCAAGCAAGCCCGCCAGGAATTCAGAAATGACGGGTCCGACGCGAGACATCGCAAGACCCCAAAAAAACAACTGGCAGGGCAAGCTATAAAACCAGAGAAGGCGGAAGGGTTGCCGCCAGAACAGTACCCGAACAAAGGGGTACGAACAACTGCAATAGACCGAGACAAAGAAGCACACCACAGGACACAGGCTGAAAAACGCCCAAGAAGCCCAGGAACACATGCAGAACACCCCTGCTGCAGAGGAGGCAGGATGAAAGAGCAGAAGCACAAAAACCCCAGGAAAACAACCAGGGGTGGACAATCAGGCGGGGACAGAAAACCCCCACGCACATGAGAGGGCCAAACCAGGTACCCGAAGACCACGAAAAAAAACAAGCAAACCCCTATACGCAAACCCCAGGCACAAAACAGCAGCAAAGTGCCACACCACAACCGGACACAGGAACAAGGACACGCCACCCTGAAACACGGTACCAATGCACACGTGCAGTAGCAGCAACAGGCACCACCACAACATGCAACATGTAAATAGCAACTTGCTTCTGCAAAGGCAGAGAACAGAGCAGGCAGACCCCAGACAGGGCCAATGGAGACACGACAAAACCCAGCAGGCCCAGAAACCTGCACACCAGGCGATCGATGGCGGAGAAACCCCGCTCGATACCTACTGGATGGGGTACTGGAAGCTCATTTACACCCGAAGCCCGGCCCGAGGCCAGGCTAGACCGGCCAGAGGGTGGCCCACCAGGCAGCTGCTTGGAGCGGTCCGCAGGCCCACATACCCCCACAACCAGGATGGGCCGGAACTTCTATTCGAAAACAGGCTAGTGTGCCCCGGAAGTCCATGGACGTACCAGTAATAAGGCTTATGCTCGCAAGTAGGTCGTGTAACAACCGCAGACCTCTGACGGTTATACAGTGTTCTCCAATTGTGCCTATAGCACCACTGCACTCCACTGGTACTATTCCGCAAGTTCTACCAGATAGGCGGGACCCAAGAGCCAGAACTCAAACCCTGCAAGCACAGCCAGGAGCCTTACCAGGTGAGTATAGAACCAACCCCACAATCCCCACACCTCACAACATGAAAAAAGGTGGGTCCCCTGAATGACTCTAGCATGGGGTGGACATGCACATGAGGGGGACAGGAAGGGTTGAAAAAGGGACAGTCACTGGTGTGCGAACGGTCTCAGTCGTACAAA